TAGGGATTGAAAATAAATATATGAGAACGTATGCACTTACTTGATGACTCGTATGATTTAATTTGACTATGAATGCGCCTCATGTGTGTTTCTTGATGATAATTGATATTTGTGGATCGGGCCGATCGCCTTGGTAGAAATAGATGCATCTATGGTTCGCGCCATTCGACCATCTGGCAGTGCACATTTCCTTTTATTTTGGATCGGGCCGTACGACCTCGGCATAATGTGCGCATGACATCTATGTGAAATCTTATTCATGACTTACTCTGATAAATGCCTTGAATTGGAATTATATAAGACATGACTGAACCTGATATATATTGATCTCTGTAAACTCTGAGCTTGTTATTTTGCCTATGTTATTCATGCTTAGTGAAACCTTAAATCATTATTGGTATTGACCTTAGTAAGTGTCTGTCGACCCCTCGTCACTACTTCTTCGAGGTTAGACTGGATACTTACTGGGTATATATTTTTATGTACTCATACTACGCTTCTGTACTTAATTGTACAGGATCTGAGGCAGGTACATCTGGCTATCAGTCTAGTGCGCATTCTTGATAGAGTCTCGAGATTCCACGGTGAGATGCTCTTTTCCTATGCCGTTAAGCAGCGTGATGGAGTCTCCCTGTACTTTTGGCTTTCTATTCTAGTTCAGACAGTAGGATAGATTTATTCTTTTGTGTATTCTACTAGATGCCCATATACTTGTGACACCAGGTCTTGGCGCACACATTAGTAGACTATTCTTTTGGTTTGTATAATTATTATCGTGCATTACTGATTATCACTTATTTTTGATTCAAATGAACAAATTGTCGGAACTATTTTGGTAAAGTAAAACGAGAATTTACTAATATATAGAGTTGGATTGCCTGACAACGGTGTTGGGCGCCATCACGACCTGTAGTGAAATTGGGTCGTGACAACCGGGAAGTTGGTAGAAACATTCTTTTTGATGGGAATTTCACTCACCTCCCCTAAAAAGCTTCTGACAGTTGATTAGACACGTATCTCTCCGCATTTAATGCCAACACGCGTCATCCTATGATTCAGCATAACCTTTACCGTCTATCTAGATAATTATGGCCATGAGTTTAGCCGCCTAAACCTTTACTTATAGGCATCAACTTCCTTAATTTACACTTTATAACACTCTGAATTTTCTAAGACTTTCTTTACTTAACTCATCTTCCGACTTCAACCTTTCTATAACTTCCTTCTTTGAGAGAAAAAACTCTTTCTCTGATAAGAAATGGCCTCCTCTTCTAGAAAACCTTGTTCTTCAAAGAAAAAAGGCAAAGCTGACGATGCCGCTCCCCCTACGGTGAGTACCATCATCCCAAAGGGCCTGATTACCCCCAAAGATTTCGAAGAGATGTTTCCTTCTGCTAATTCTCGTACATGGGACGTTGGCAAATACCCTTCTTCCATTCGTCCTTCTAGTATTCCCGTTGTGGAGGAAGATTGTCGTTGCCAGGATTTAGACATTATCACTCCTGATCTGGCAGAGCCGGTAACCCTACCCAAGGAGGGTTTTACATACTTTTACGTGTATCCTTTTACTTTGGGAGTGTTTTCTCTGAGTGGAGAGCTTGAATCTGTCATTGCGGAGTTCCGTCTTCGCTACCAGGTGTGTTTGTCTCAAGTAAGTCCTTCCATGTGGAGGACGATTGCTTGTCTTCGGCGCTTGTGCCAAGAAACGGGAGAGGAGCTATCCCTATCGCGCGTGATGAACCTCTATTCCCCCAAAATCTTCCGCGGGAGGATGATAAACTTTAGCAAACGCGGTCACCATGCTCTATTATCTAGCATGGATGATGACAACGACCGTGGGTGGATGGAACGGTTCGTTGCGGTTGCAGTAAACAATATCATTCCGGCAAGGACTTCATCCTTTCTGGAATCATGGAACTGCACTCGTAAGCTCCTTGTTTAATATTTCTTTCATTAGAAATTTTCTCATATCCTTAATGACCCTCTTTTTTCGCCTGTTTCAGCAACTCGATGGGTTCTACCTAGGGTTGAAGGCTAGGACCAGTGGGTCCAGAAAATCTTTGATGCCACTACGCTCAAAATCTGCACGTGGAAAGAACTGGCCCTTAAATATAGTGGAAGGCCAAAAATCATGGTAACCTAAACTCACCTCGTCGTTGCTTTTTGTGTGAAGAAACTGATTAATCCTTTCTCTCTTTGCCAAATTCAGGTCTACCCCAGGGCTCGGTTGTCGTCCCCGAGGAGGACATTTTGGCTAATCCTGTTGATGCAGCGAGGCTGCTTCAGGGGGCGCTTACTTGAACAGGTGTCTTTGAGCCTGCTTTGGGTGCAAGTGTTTCTTCTTGGAGTCCCCGGACGGAGAACAAGCAACCAAAAAAAAGGCGTTCCTCCGCGGCCGGGGGAAAGAATAAAAAGACAAAGAGCGTAGCACCCGAGTTGTCGTCGGATGTTGTGGCGACAAGCACCACGCCCAATTCAGTCCCAGAAATCACGATGATCGATGATGACGGAGAAGCCAATGGTGAAGGGGCTTCTCTACATAGAGGACGACGACTTTCACCAACTCAGTTGAATGTCCAATATGTCGAGTTATCTATACCAATCGAGGATGATGCCTCGGTACTCTGGGGGGAGATTGATGTGGTAGAAGATGCCAACTCACGCTTCCAAGTTCCAGCTGCCGCGCCCGGTACTATAGGGTTAAGTACCGATCCTCTTCCGTCTTTGGTTGACAAGCAACGACCAACCATTACTGCTCCTACCGTAGTCGCTTCTTGACCTACAACATTATCTTCTTCATCTCCCTCTTCTCCAACTCATCCTTCGCCACCAGCACTTGCTACATCATTTCCGCCAGCCGTAGCTGCCGAGAGGAGGAAGTCCCTCTTTCCCAGTCCCCAGTTCTTGGGCAAAATTATGCTGCTCTCTCAGAAGATCCCCAAAAGAGGAGGAGCGCCACCCTCTTTGTTTCCACTGGATGCACCTTGTTGTCCCTGCCGGTGGAACTTGCTAACTATTTGAAGCGCCTGGCTTCAGAGAAAGATTGGGAAAAGATATGAACTGTCTCGGGAGAATGTTTGTTGAACAATGCCATGCACAACACAACGGCGGTATAGTTTTTGTTTTCTTCTGTTGTTTCTTCTATAAGTGAATGATAAAGTTTGAATTTGCATTCTTGTTTTAATTTGAAGGCCAATTTCCTTGCCTCTGAGGGCCTCCAAAGGTTAATTCATGATAAGGAGGAACTTAGCTCTGAGCGGGATCAACTTTCGGCCGAGAGGGGCCAAATTGTTGCTCGCCTCTCAAAACTGGAAACTCGAGGTGCCGAGGCTGTTAAATTGGAGGCTCGATTGCAGCAAAGCGAACAAGAAGCAATGACTCTTAGCCAAGAGGTTGTTCCATTAAGGGCACAATATGACGAAATTAAGGCCAAATGAGTTGATGTTCATAATGTTGTCCTTGCTGCATCCGATCGCGAGGCTGCCTCTGCTAAATGACCGCATAATTTGGAGGCAGCCTTAAACTCTAAGGCTGAAGAACTTGATGTTGTCGAGGAAAAGCATGCCCGGTTGGAGGAGGAATATAAGAAGGCCTTAGAGACTTAGAGGATAAATGATGGCGTCAATTTAGCCGCCTTTAGCCAAAATTCTTATTTTGATGACATGCACTTATGCCTTTTTAGCATTTCTTTACGTGTTGGAGATATTGTTGGGATTTCATTTCCTTACTTGATTTTGAGCTATATTTTTTTTATGTTGTTTTGTTTCTCATTTGAAAAAAAAAGTATATAAAACTTAAACGTAATAAAATATCAACACCCTGAAATAGTTAAATCTTTAATTGTACCAAACTAATCCATAGGAGGAATATGTTTACATTCTTGCTTTCTTTTCCTTGAATCCACGACAAGTGCTATTATTTTTTCAAGTACAGTTTCTTTTACGTCCAAATGCGTACCTCTAGGCTCTAGTAGCCTTACCAACTGTTTGCCTTAGTTTTATACCAACCTGAAAGAAACAGATTAACAATCGCTTTATTAAAAGAAAAAAAGGATTAACGTGGCGTTGCCTCTATTCGGCATCAGTGTATAACCCTCTGATAAGGGATTATAATATAATGCCGGTTTTCCAGTTTTTGACTAAAACATTAAAGTACTATAGCTGTTTGTTGGTTTGGTGCGTGGTCTCGACTCTTTATTCCCTCATTTGACCTTGAACTTGTACTTCTTTTTTAGTTAAAGACTCCACACAAGACATGTAATTACCTTGTAGATAGATAGTCTGAACACATCAATAATAGCTTTTGTTTCTAAAATGGATTAAACCACTAGTAGTCGTAGAACATGAGTGGAAGTGGATTTGCCACATCAATAACCTTCCCCATGTAGTTATTATGTATGAATCACATATTGAATATATATATCAGATGAATTCTTCAACTCACACTTCAACAAACATTTAAGTGTAAAGATTTTTCACATAATTTCTGTAGTTTGACAATATAATACAAGATAGTGTATTATTTTATCATGTTACCAATTATAGTTATCAAAGAAATTTACATATACTAACCTTAAAACAACATGATATTGCATATATCATTATTGCGTACAACTTAAACTCTACACATAAAATAGATCCGGGAATCGGGAAAGTGACACTAGAAGAGCAAAATTAATCTTCTTTTTTCTACCATGAAATAAAAAAAATAAAAAATAAAAAGCTACTCCTAACATATTTCCAAAGAAAAGAAATTTGTACTACAAAAAACTATATATTATTCATGAAGTCTTTAGCAATGTGTTGTTGATAGTACAATATAAAAGGCATCGCTGGAAACGCTTAGTCTCAAAGCACAACATAAGAGGCATTTCTTCAAATTTCCTAAGGCTTCCCTCTTTTATGGAGTGACTTGAAAGTATTAAATGACCATGCACCAAACACGAAACTTGCTGTTTGTTTATTGCCTCATTCCCGGCTATATATAGCCAGTCCTGTTGCACTCTCATATCATCTTCCTTCTAACTTGTAATTAAATCTTAATTATCTGCAATTTATCAGCTTAATCTTCTTCAAGTGTAGTGGCCAATGGCTCCTTTGTCTCTCCAGATAATCCTTTGTGCAACCATATTTCTTGTTTTGTCTACAATCTCTCCGTCCAACGCAACACTTGGAGCAAACTACTATGATCAAACATGTCCACAAGCTGAAGATATTATCTATCAAGCTGTTCGCAACGCTTCGTCTTATGATCCTAAAGTCCCAGCACGTCTTCTGAGGATGTTTTTCCATGATTGTTTCATTAGAGTACTCACTCCCTCTCTCTCCCTCTCTCTCTACATATATATGTGTCTTGTTTGCACATAATGCAAGTCATTATGTCATCACGAACTGTTTTGTTAATGATTACAGGGATGTGATGCATCAGTTCTATTGGACTCAACTCCAGGAAACAAAGCAGAGAAAGATGGTCCTCCTAACATCTCTCTTAGAGCCTTCTACGTGATTGATGATGCCAAAACTATGCTCGAAAAGGCTTGCCCAAGAACTGTTTCTTGTGCTGACATTGTTGCCATTGCAGCTAGAGACGTCGTGGCTATGGTACGTAGTCTATCATCCTCTCAATTATATACAGTCATACCTCTCTATAACAACATTTGCTATATAACAGTCATTCATTTATACGATCAATGTATTTTAACATGTATAAGCCTTATTTTCAATATTACTGATCACGCATTTTTCCAATCAAGCTCATTATAACTTCATCATGTTTGACAATTTTGTAGTCTGGAGGTCCACATTGGAACGTACTAAAAGGAAGGAAAGATGGGAGAGTATCAAGGGCAAATGAGACAATTAACTTACCAGCTCCATCCTTCAACACGAGCCAACTCATTCAGAGCTTTGCCAAAAGGGGATTGGGAGTGAAAGATTTGGTTGCTCTCTCTGGTGGACACACACTTGGATTTTCACACTGCTCTTCTTTTGAAGCCAGGCTTCGTAACTTCAGCTCAGTGCATGACACTGATCCCAGCTTGAATGCAGTATTTGCAGAGAGCCTAAAGAAGAACTGCCCGAAACCAAATAGAGATAGCAATGCAGGACAATTCTTGGACCCAACTTCATCAGTGTTCGACAACAACTATTACAAGCAAATTGTTGCAGGCAAAGGTGTTTTTGCATCAGATCAGAGTTTGTTGAATGACTATAGGACTGGTTGGATTGTTAAAGCATTTGCCAATGACCAATCTTCCTTCTTCTGGGAGTTCGCGGCTTCAATGGTCAAGCTTGGAAATGTTGGTGTTCAAGAAAATGGTGAAGTTAGACTCAACTGCAGAGCTGTTAACTGAGAAACCGGCCTTATATTTGTTAAGTGTGTTTGAAAATGAGTGTTTTGGGTAACCCCTATTTGTTCCTTTTTTCTGGATAATAATTCTCTGAATTGTGAGGCTTAATGCAGAGGCAGCGCAGAAAGAATAACGTCATCACATTGTTAAGCTTTATTCGTTATCTATCCTTTTGATTGTATTAAGAAAACATGACCACATTTCCTTTTAAATATGCTGTCATCAAAATTGAAAAATATTACTACTAGTTCGTAGATTTAGAGAAGGGGGTGGGGTACAAAGTCTCCAGAAATGAAGGTATTCCACCTACAAATACTAGCTTCTGCGGAAATATATCAATAGATAAAATACAGACATCAATTATAATCTCTAATAGAAAGTGCCAACTTCATAAGAATCAACCAACTCAACTCTCCGAATATAAAAATCAGAAAATAATAAAGTTCCACACATCTTAATTTGCTCGTGAATATTACTAAACTCGGAAAGCAAATCCTTTCACCAGTTCATACTCTTGAAAGATTCAATACTTAAGCAAAGTGTTTTCCCAGTATGATATAAAAAAGTAGTATCATTTAAATTTCTTTCTGGGCCGATCCCAGAAGCTGACAAAATGATTGCAGAATACAGCAGAGGTTCCACTTAAGCATTAAGTTACAAATAGAAGGTGAATTACAAAAAGTCGGAGAGACTTTCACACATTAAACTCAGGAGGAGGTAGAAAAAGTACACAATTCTTCAGGATTTGGCATTTGTTCAAGCAAATACAACATCAGATCGTAATATGTATTTGATACCCTTAGTGACATTCCGAGCTTCATGCAACATACATTTATCCCCATGAATGTGAACAAGAGCCATTCCTTCAGTTGGAGGTACCTGTATAGATTATAAATAGCATAACAATAACAGATATTTATTCAAGAAAATCATGTCATTATCCTTCAGTTGATGCCAGACTATGCAACACAATAGTATATAAGTAGCACAAGAAAATCATGATTTAATGCTTAGCTAATATGGAGGAATTGATATATGAAAGAACGTGATAACAATCCCGATTAAGTATTACATGCATATATGTGTGAAGGGAATCGAGAATGAGAACATTAACGAGAGAGAGTGGGAGTTGGCACATTGCTGAAAAGGGAAGGAATGCTACCTCAGCAACCAAAGCATTTCTTGGACCATAAAAGACAGTCTCCCCTCCAACAAGGGTCTCAGATAAAGAATCCTGAGATTCTTTATCATCTTTGGTTTTAGATTTAGAACCACCGCTTAAATATATTAGCAAAGTGTAGTGTGTGCGCTTTCCTTCTCCAACGTCAACACTTTCATCGATATGCCGTCCAAATCTCTGGCCAGCCTTGTACCTGGTGAGCAACAACAGTTATTGAAGAGGATCAAACATTTGTTATATTGTCCGTCTTAACATGTATTCTGGAAAAAGGAAATGAGAAACACAATGGCTGCAAAGGCCATGATATTAGAGGGACATATAGGAGGATTTATCATTATCTTTTTTGAACTGGAGTCCAGATATAAGAGGATTTATCATTTTACATGGGCAAAGCTTTCGAGCATGTTGTAGTAGTTTGTTATTTAGTTATATGTTCTATTTTCAGTTTACAAGGTTCTTTTTTGAAGTAAGGTATTACAATCCAATAAAATAGCACCAACGGGCTGCAGTAAATGCAGGGATCTGAGGCAGCTATTGTGATGCAAGTTTAAAAGTTACATCTAGGTTATTCAAGGAAAAACCTAGCACTCTACCTCCCTGTAAATGAAAAAAAGACAGAGAGTCTTCTTGGACTTGAAAATCATGACTTACCAACAAACAAATACATCACTGTTGCAGCTGTTGTCCCTCTCCTAAAACTCAGGTGAGTATTCAATATACCATCCTTCCAAAGTACAGCACCTTTTTCTTTTTCAATTTGAGAAGAGTAACACTAAAAAATTTTCCGATCCATATCATGTTGACTTGTATAATTTTAGATTGTTTAATAATGTCCTAGACAAATATTATAGTTAATTGCAATAAAAAATATTAATCAAAGAATTCAGATTGCTGCTCAAACAATTTAAACTTGACATGGGCAATCTATCTCTAACATGAAATTTTCTGAAGATATTATCAAACAAGCCACACTTATAGTATACAAAAGATTATGAAACGAATTGCAACTAATTGCATTATGTTAAGACATCATCAAGCAATAGAGGACTAAAATATATAATTCATTAATTAGTATTAAGGGAGTCGGGAGAAATGCCATAAAGTCATTTCCCTCCTCACTGGCACAACATCAGCACACCAACCTCTTCCTACATTTTTTTTTTGTTTCTTGTTCCTTGCCCCAATAGCTCTCCCAGCGACTTCCTATCGTTCATTTTACCATCCCTCTTTCCTATCGTTCATTTTACCATCCCTCTACTCTTACTTCTTTTTTCCTTATAATTTTCTGCTACTTTCCAACATCCACTCTCAAATGTCATGTATTTCATTTCAGCTGCGCCAATGTTTTCCTTTTTTTTTAGTAGTGGATGCCAACTTTCTGTTACGGGCCGGGGGAGGAAGAGAAACCTAATGTTGTATTTTGTGGTACACCCTGGATTTTCTTCTTGCATAGTAGAATATATATCATAAGGTTTGTTGCTTCATTTTATTCCTATCCAGCACAGATTTACTGTACTGCTTGTTTGAAAAGATAAGGTTTGTTGTAACTTGTGAGTTCAATGTTTTGGAATCAAGTGCGCCTACTATTTACTTCTTTGTTTCTGTAAGCTTTAAATAATCACCTATTTGTTAACTGCCTCACAACCCTTAAAAGCAAGTACTCCCTCCGTTCCAGTTTATGTGAACCTATTTCCTTTTTGGCCCGTTCCAAAAAGAAGGACCCCTTTCTAAATTTGGAAACAATTTAGCTTAAACTTACAATTCTACCCTTAATGAGAAGCTTTTATAGCCACACAAATACTCTGGGCCCCTTTTTAACTTGTTTAGGACCACAAATTCCAAAAGTCTTCATTTTTTCTTAAACTTCGTGCCCAGTCAAACAGGTTCACATAAATTGGAACAAAGGGAGTAACTATCAGGACCTTACCCAGAAAACCCTGAAAAATCAGCCCTCAATTGGATTATTCTGCTGTCTTGTAGGTTGTAGATCCATTCTCTCGTCTACATGGTCGATTATAACCTATTCAATCTCGTCAATGTTTATCAACCTTAATAAAGCTTAAATATGCCAATTTTTATTAAATTAACATGTTTTACTACTCAGCATGGAGAAGTATCACAGATTGTTGTATCTAAGTCGGTAATTGACATTGTACGCCATAATAATAGAGCAGTTTTATGACGAAAAGACACCTAACCTGTAAAATCTAATATTAGGGTTCAACCCAATAGCAACTCTGCCTCGAATTTTTATGTCTGAAAATAATCTGTTCAGTCCAGATCTCCATATTGCATCTGCGAGATCAGGATCATGCATGGATACACGATCATTGTCTCTATAAGCTTCGCCATATGCAGGACCAAGGCTTCCTTGGTGAACAAACCCAAGTGATTCCGCAGCTTTGACAAAAGCCTTTGATTCAGCTGGAGTAAAGAAATTCTGAACCTGAATACCTTAAGCAAATAAAGGAAGTATTAGAAGCAGATAAGTCAAGAATAGCACTTAATCACCAAGTTAAGACCTTGACAAAACATCATCACTTCAAGAAAAGATTAGCAATTCTTATTTCCTAATATGATAGCAAAAAAGGTCCAGTTTGACTGTTGCCGAATACACGAGTTGGATGATTTATCCGTGGTTAAATCCATGATATATTGTTTTCAGCTTCTCTGTTTTGATAATCACATCAAGAAGAAATCTTAGTTGAATCTCATAAGGATGTTTTTTATGTTTCCATTTTGAATGAACATGACGAAACTTGGCATGAGATGATTTAAATGGAGTAATGTAGTCAGTGAGGATTCATAAAGCCAACCCCTAGTTGTTTGGGATTGAGGCGTAGTAGTTGTTGTTGTTATGGTGAACCTATCAAAATTGAATTTGTTAGAGTAGAGAAGGACAAGAAGGAGAGGGGTTCTTCACCAGAAAAACTCTCCCTCCATTTCAGTTTATTGATAAAACTTCTTTTTGGGATGTCTAGAAAATATGGAATCATCAATTTAACTGAAGTCTTACAAGTAAGTGAAGCACACCTATATCTTTCAACAATTTAAGTAACCTTTTAGCTTCACCTATAACATTCTATACCAATTCGGCAGCTAAGCAATCTTACTCTTTATTTCTTTCACCTTAAACTATGAGCATCCTTGTTTCAACAAAGGATTGGTAGAAACTCATCATCAATATAGCAAAACCAACAACACACAATTATGGGAAGAATGGACCATTCTCGAATGTGAACATTTAATAATAAACTGCTCTTGATTTAAGCTTAGTCATAATCTTTGCAACAAGAAAACTTCAACTGTCTTGAAATAACAAGTGATTTACTGAGGAAACATCCACTTCTAATGCATGACAAATTTGCTAAAGGAGCAAGAGCAGTGAATCTCAAATTACTCTTTGTCAATTGTTGAAGACATAATTTAGTAAATAAAAGCTGGACTGATATTTCTTTACATGTTACCTTTCTCAATAAACTAATAATTGAGTAAATAAAAGTATGCATTCTCGATAAGTTAAACTTTTAGATGAGATAGTGACCCACTTCAACATGGTATTGAACATACAAAGGTCATGGGTTCGAGTCTTGGCGTCACTCATTATCAAAAAGCATTTCCACATGCTTGGCTCATGAAGAAGAATAAGGTTCGCACATAAACGTCATGTTGAATACACAGTTAAGTAAATTAAAGTGTGCACCTCTCAAGTTATAAAACGAAGTGTCAAACAAATGCATGTACTAAGGCAGCAAAATCTCAAGTTATACAGTTAATGTTTCAATTGTAAATGTGTAAAACAACGAGTTTCAGATTTGCTCAACTTTGAAAGACACAATTATGAGGCTCATGAATTTTTATTTTATTTTTTGAGGGGGGGGGGGGGGGTTAAATTAGGGGTAAACGAAGAACAATTTTTTTGTGCAAAACCGGAAAGAGGGGAAGAATTCATACAGTAATAAGATCGTTATCTTTGAGGCGATTGAGCTGAAGATTAAGCTTGAGTTTGATTGATGGCCACCCTGTTCCCTT